AGATATTATTCATATAAAATATCTATTTAATATATAAATGTAATGTACATTACATTTGCTTGCTTAAAAAATCTAGACTCTATTTCTTTTTGGAACATTGTTACCATGCATAGGAAAATCAATTATTATGGTTATAAAATAATTTCTGATGTAGAATATTCCTTTCATCAGTGGAAGACTATCCACTGAGAAAAAAGACTTAATTTCCTTTTATAAATGTCAGTGGATTAGAACTACACAATAGTTCTAACTCTGCTATCGCTGTGTATTTAAAGCCAAGATGATGACTGTATTGAAAAAAGAGGGAAGGGAAAATCAATAGATTATTGCTTCAATGGAGCTCACAACAGTGCTGATTAGAGAACACAAATGGATTGCATAATAGTAAAATAACTATAAACTGGTTATGGATTTAAGCCTATGTTAAGACCATTCTTAACTGCATTGTATCTTTAGAAAACATGCACTGAAATCACAACAGCAAATTAAATCTATTCGACCGCAAAATTTAATACACAAGAAAATAGCATTTATTAATGATCTGGAAGAGGGACTAAATAGCATGTTAATGAAATTTGCAGATGATACTAAATTGAAAGGTGTTACAGGCAACAATGAGAACAGGGGCTTAATACAAATGGACCTTAAAGAGTTAGGGAAAGGCTGATGGTGGCAACCACCACAACAACAAAAAAACCCAAGTGGAACTGATAAAAATATTTGTTGGAAAAATTTCAACTTGAAAAAGAATAATACAAAAGAAGTATAGATGGAAAAGTGACTTTGAAATTTGATTAGGATTTTCTGATTATAATACGCTGATTAATCCACTCTTGAGAGGCCCTGGGCTCCCTCCTGGAAAGCAGTCATTTCTTTACTGCTCTACCCACCCTCCAGGCAGACCAGAAAAACTATATCACTTAGTCGTAGACTTTTAGGAGGCAAGTAAAATGAAGAAAACAGAGACCATGCATATGAGTTAAAAAAAAGTGCATACTGAAGAGAAAGAAATGGCTTGTGAAGACACATGATTTTGTATTGGTATCATCTAATGGTGTTTAGAATCAAGAGGGGCCATGAAAAATCTACAAATACCTGAAAATTTTTTATAAAAGATGGTTGCTGTCACTTGATTGTTTATGAGTAATTATTAAATGAAACTAATAATTACCTTATGAAATATAATTCTAACTTTTCCAGATACCAATAAATGGAAGAGTTCTCCTTCCTAATCACATGTGCCTTAATCCAAAAAATTGGTGATATTCTCAATGTCATATGGGATGATACCATTGGCCTTCTTAGTATGTCTGGAAGTTTGAGTCTGAGAATTTGGTTTATCCAGAAAAACAGCAGCAGGTGTCTCTTGGAAGCTTTGGAGAATAAGAAGCTAAGTAATACATCTATAATGTTTTATTGGGAGCTAAGATATAGTTATCTGGGGATTAAAGCTTTTCTCTATTGGATCTGTTAAAACAGAAACCTCAGTTTCAGAAACTTGACTATTATCATAACATTTTATGTTTCCATTAGATCTCAGTAATGCTCTCTCTTTGAACAGAATCTGCCACTGCCACACCTGTGATGGAGGAAGATGCAAGTGTTCTTGGTGGCCAGGTGTGATGATGACAGTGAGAACCGATGTAGGAAAATTCCATGGAGGAGGTGAAGTGCTGGGAGGCGGGCAGCATGAGGCCCATGAAGGTGGGGGATAATGTTGGGGAGGAAAATTTGGGTGAGCTAATGGAGGGTTTTGAATATGCCCTAAGGATCCTGGACTTTATTTAGTAGGCAGTGTGGTATCAATAGGTTTATGAGTAAAGGTTTTTGAGTTTTGATATGATTCTTCTATATAATACGTTAGTTATTTCTCCCAAATACATGTTATTCCCTAATTAGATAGGCATGATCTAGGTCTTCATCCAAATTGTGGAAACGTTGAACAGGGCAGGCTAGAGGAGAGAGCCCAGCAATGTACCATTAGAAACCCTTCTCTAGGGGAATACTGCACCCTAAGTGACATCAGTTTTGGGGGGCATAGCTTCTAGGCTGTTTTCAATCTAACAGCAATTTACTGTATTGTATTGTTATTAGTTAAAATCCCCTCCAGACTTATAAAGTCATCATGAGAAATTCTGTCATGTTGCATTGACAGAAGTCCTCACTGTCCTCTATGATCCCAGCAGAGAAAACTAGGTTTGTCTGGTACATTTTGATTTCAATGAATCCAAGCTGGTTCCTAGCATTCACATTCAAAGTGATTACCAGCATTTCGTTTAATAATGCCACTTAATACTAACTCTAGGGTCTTGCCAGAAAATAGTATCAACCGTCAACTTCCCAATATATTTTGGGAAGGAGCACATGAGTTTCTTGCAATAAACTCAGGCTAAGGGTGAACAGGAGAGATGGCAAGACTCAATGCTGAGAGAGTGTGACAAACTCAGTTATGATTCAGTCAAATTTTAAATCTAGGAGTTTAAAGAAGACTAGCACAGCAAATGATAGCAAAGAGTGAGCAGTGCATAGGACCCAAGACTCCGGTAAGTAGGCCTATATCATCCCACATGGGCATCAGGCAGCATAGTTCCAGCTAAATCACAGCTGCTTAGGAAAAAGGAAGGCACCACGTATTTCAGAACTTCTAATGTCTAGCATCCTACTCGATGCAGCTGCCCTATGAAGCTGCACCCTGTGGCAGAGCACAAGGTGACTGACTCCCCTCAGCTCAAGAGCATCTTTAGACTCTCTCAAGTAGCAATTCTCAAAATGCAGCCCAGAAACCCTTTCAGGGAGTCTGCAAGGACAAATCATCTCTTCTCAGAAGAATACTAAGACATTATTTTCACTGTCTTGTCTTATAAGTGTACAGTGAAATCTACCACAGGGTAAGTGTAGTGTGATATTGGAATAGATTAAGTGCAGAAGCAGATAAAAGAATCCACCTGTCTAATTATCAGAGAAATACAAATCAAAACTACAATGAGGTACCACCTTACCCCAGTCAGAATGGCCATCATTCAAAAGTCCACAAACAACAAATGCTGGAGAGGGTGTGCAGAAAAAAGGGAGTCCTCCTACACTGTTGGTGGGAATGTAGTTTGGTGCAGCCATTATGGAAAACAGCATGGAGATTCCTCAAAAGACTAAAAATAGAGTTACCATATGACCCAGCAATCCCACTCCTGGGCATATATCCAGAGGGAATCTTAATTCAAAAAGATACATGCACCCCAATGTTCATGGCAGCACTATTTACAATAGCCAAGACATGGAAACAACCTAAATGTGCACTGACAGATGACTGGATAAAGAAGTTGTGGTATATTTATACAATGGAATACTACTCAGCTATTAAAAATAATAAAATAATGCCATTTGCAGCAACATGGATGCTCCTGGAGAATGTCATTATAAGTGAAGTAAGCCAGAAAGAGAAAGAAAAATACTATATGATATCACTTATATGTGGAATCTAAAAAAAAAAGACAAAAAAATTATTTACAAAACAGAAACAGACTCAGACATAGAAAACTAACTATGGTTATCAGGGGGTTGGAAGGAATAAATTGGGTGTTAGAGATTTGCAAATACTAACTACTATATATAAAATAGAAAAACAATAAGTTTATACTGCATAGCACAGGGAACTATATTCAATATTTTCTAGTAACTTATGGTTAAAAAGAATATGAAAATGAATATATGTATGTTCCTATATGACTGAAGCATTATGCTGTACACCAGAAATTGACACGACATTGTAAACTGACTATACATCAATAAAAACATATTAAATGTTACAACATAAAAATAAATAAATGAAAAAGACTATCTCCAGGAATAAAACAAAAAGAATCCAGCTGTCTTCTATTCTGCCAGATATTAAAGACATTTGCAAAAATATAAAACAATGGCACTCTTCTAACTTTCAAAATTTTGGACAATAGTTATTTTCATTAAAAGAGGTTATTCACTTTAATACATGTGGGTTTATTGTTATTTGAAATGAATTAAGATTTCAGTTTTAACTTCTGATACGATAAATATTGATAGGTATAACTCACATAAACAAAAGCCATTTGGCATGCTCAAAGACTTATTTATATTTTCATTGAAATACACTTGATGTACAACATTATGTCAATTTCAGGTATACTATCTAGTGATTTGACATATGCATACATCATGAAATGAGCACCATAATAAGTTTAGTAACCATCTGTCCTCATAGAACATTATTATGGTATTATTGACCGCATACCTGATGCTGTGTATTACATCCCGGTGACTTATTTATTTTACCTCAAGGACTTTTTTCAGAGTGTAAAGGAATCCTGAAACCAAAAAATTGGAGAACTACTTAATCTAGAAGAAGCCGTAAAGCCTAATTCTTGCTCCCTGAGGGAAGACAAGTTGCCTAAGATTTCCATGACTTCTTCCTCCCCTACAGCATAGGATGATGATTTAAATTGCCTTGTCTGGTTACTGGGAAGACCAGATGGAGCAAGTCTGTGTAAAACTCTTAGTTCGGTGCCTGGCAGATGAGTACTCAAAAAATATTAGTCATCACTATGATGATGATGATGATGATGATGATGATTACTACTACTACTGCTACTACTATTACTACCACTATGAGGACTATTATTTCGCCCTGGCAATGTCTTTACTTAGATACTAAGGGATTCATTCCTTGAACTTGTTAAATGTTCTTGGGCCTTTGCACTTCCTGTTCCCTTTGCCTGGAATAGCTTTCCTACCTTTTTGTCTAACAAATTCTCTTCATTCTTCTCAGTCAGACTTAGAGCATTTTTTGGTCTTTGGAAGACTTCATTGGCTTCCCAAAACTGTGCTAGGTACCCTGCAGTAAGTTCCCAAATTGGCCCATTTGGTACACTGCAGTATAATTAATTGTCTCATGTCTTTACTGGGCTTTTCCATTGCACTCTGAAAAATCTGTGACAGTAAAGACCACGTCTGGGCACTGCTATACTCACAAAGCTCAGCACAGTGCCTGCCATTCAGTAAATGCTTGTTGAAAAAACTGCAGAAGTCCCCAATTTCTCTTCTTGCCCTTCTGCTTCTTTCATGCCCTGGAACACAGAAGTAAATTTGGTAAGTGAAATACGCTTTTGAATTCTTCTTTCCTCAAGTTAGATGTGAAGTCTAAGCTCGAAAAGTGACCTGGGCTTCATTTCTGAATTTAAGGTAATGGCTACTTATCTTAAAAGGTGTTTGATTGTGTGCCTTCGTTTCCCAGGGACTCAAGAGTTGTGCAGAAGGTAATGCATCCACCGTTGCACAAAAGCTGGTTAATTCTTAGTTATGATCCAGATCACTCACAATCTAAGATGGAGAACTGAGATGGCTAGAAAAAGTGCTCCTGGGTACCAGCAACACAGCTCTTCGTGCTATAAAGAGGGAAGAATACTAGAGCACTTTCTTCCTTTTAAGTTGCCTTTCCTTCCATCCTTAATGGGATTTATGCCTGCACTTCTCTGATCCACTGATAACAGTTCCAGAATTTCTATTTTAGAAGAGCTTAAGGACAACAGTTTGATTGAATGAGGGGCGGGGAGACTTTTTCTTTACATAGCAAATGCACTCTTTTTACTGACATTGCATGTTTATTTTGGAAGGTATTCTTGGGTATAAGAGGGTGCTAAGGACTCCCAAGTCACCCCACTGCTGAGAGTACATCTATTTTTAGTATGGAGACATTTGAAGTAAAGGAATAGGAAAGCTTGATAAGAGATCTGACTAGGTCTCTTGTTATTGCTATTTACATTTGTAACCCTACACTCTGCCTGGTGAGAATTAATCAATATGCTTAAGTCTGAAAAACAGTCAACCATGGGAATAAGGACTAGAGTATATTTATTAGCTCTGGGGCCTAAAGAGATCTGTATTGTCATATGGAAAGGGGCAGGCCAACCAAAGAAAAGTCAGACCTGAAGAAATCAGCTTATCACACAATTATGATGTATTTATTCCAACTATGGACAGATAAAATGCAATATAAGATATGACCGCAAGGAGCTTGCAATCTTATTCAGAAGACAGGAGAATGCCTACAGGGTTATCACTGAAGCACATTTGTGAGGCTCCTTGTTACTGTTCACTGTTCCTGCTGGTTATTCTCTTAGCCTAATTACGTGAGGAAAAATAGAATGAAAAAAAATGGATGGAAAGGAAGAGGAATGTGGCTACAAATATTAAGACCTGTGCTCCAAATGTAAAACAGTATTATTCACAGTTTTAAAGCTGGAATCACTAGCTAACATTTAATTGGGCCTTCTTATTTTGCAGAGGAGGGAACTGAGGCCTGTCTAGCAAAGAACCGCAGCTGATAAGTGGCCAGGTTCTCTTTTTCCTAGAATCTGTCCCCATCACAACAGAGTGCCTTTGAATGTGAGGTAAAATAACTGGAGTCACCTTATACCCGAGTCTTTGCTAAAGAGCCTTAGTTTTCTCTTTAACGGTTGAATGGTTTTTGAAATTCTTTGATTACTTAGTTAGGAATTTTTTTTCCAGCATGACAGTTTTCATCAATCCTAATTTCTCAGTTCCCTAAATAGAATCTATCAATGCTAAAATTCATAGACCTTATCAAAGGGAAAATTCAATAATTAATCTGAATAACAGACTAGAAAATGGGGTGTTTTTAACCTATATTCACTCATCTCTCCACTTTCCTATCTTTTTATGAACGATTTACAAATTTTATATTTCCCTCCTGGCCTCTTTTCTGAATGGATTTCTTATTTCAACTGCTGCACCTCTACCTGTTTTTCCTCCCATGACCTCGACCTCAACAGGAAGCCAGCTCCTACTCCACATATCTCTATTTCTGTCAATGACACCATCATTCTTCCAGTCACCCAGGTCTGAAATCTTGGCATCATCTCTGACTCTTCTTTTTTACATCTAGTGGGTCACCAATTTCTATGGCCTCTTCCTGAGGCATGTCTCTCAAGTCCATTTCCTCTTTCCTAATTCTATTTTATACACACCAACTCAAGCCCTCACAATCTCATAATCAGGCAGTGACAATATGCTGCTTCCCAGTTTTGCCCTAGCAACCCATCCTACAACCACTGTGGACGGT